GCTTTCTTTGCATGTTCTTGCTGACCTTTTAAAATACAATTCAAAGGAGCTTTTCTTTTGAACGTGTCACACGCCCAGCTCAGGACACTGCATGAGTTTTCTGCTGTTTTTCCAGGATAGTTCAGTAGAGCATTGTGTGCCTAAATCTCTGCAAGCATCTCGTCCATGCCATGAGGCCCTCCTTGGGATTCACTTTATGGAATTATCCACAAATCAGTGCTTGCTCGGCAAGTGGCTTTTTCAACACTACCAAATGTGAAAGGAAAGTCCTTTTCTTCTGAAATGTTGCTTTTTGGTTTTATTTTAATTTCTCAATGGAGAGCATGTCTGAGCAAGTTGTTATTTTTCTGCCCCCAGCCAAATAAGATGAAGCCAGTTTCTTACAAGAGAAAGAAATACTCTCTTTTTTACAGTCTTCCTCGTCAGAACTGTGTTGTTCCCATAAGCTATCTAGAAGAATTTTGTTTTGAGCAAAGACCAAACAGGGAAAATTTCAGCCAAGAAGGTGAAAGTTTTCCCGTTCTCCTGCCCTGAAGCTTATGAGTGAGTAGAAATAAGAGCACTGATTTCTACTCCTGGTGTAATAGGAACTTGTTTTTGAAGTGAGGAGCAAGAATTAGTTCAGAGGGTGAGGCCTGAATGTGCTCCAGGGATCTGTTACTGAGCAGAGAGGCTAGGGAGAGAGACTGGAGTAGTTTGGACTTAGGGGAACTGTGCTAGTCTGGAGTTGTTACTCCATGTGATGGAGTAAGCAGAGGTGGGTGTGATGGGCACTCAGCCATCCAGCACCTCTCCCTGCTGTCATCCAAGACTTGCTCAGGAGGTTCTCTCAAGCTGGTATTTGAGAGATTTGTCTTTGAAATACAGTATCTTTTTTTCCTTTCCCCCCACTCCTTAAGCTTTCAACAGAAAATCTTCAGCCTTGGTCCATAGGTTATCAGGGAAAGGACAGGTTTTTGCTGCAAAAGATACTTCAGTTCCTTGTATTTATATGTAGCCTGTTTGAGCAACAGTTAAATTAAAACTTTGTAAATGCATAATCTTCAGACTGGGCACTCTGGTCATTTTGAATTTAAGAAGAGGGAAAAGATAACGTGTAGGTTACTTCTGTATTTTCAGTGTATCCTTATTTTTTCTGACTCTGTTTCTAAGGCTACCCTAAGAGTGCAAGTGTTCAAAATGGGTTAAACAAGACAGCTTGTACGATAATCTTGCCCTATCCCCAGTGTTGCCCCATGGAGGTAGCTAGTGATAGTCTCATGGCAGCTTCCTCTGGGCAGTAGGATTATAGAGATGTTGGTTGGAGGGGAGATGTGGAGGTTGTCTAGCCCATTTAACATGCATTTTTCACAGACACCAAGAGTTTAGAGGATGCTCTGTTGCAATTGTGTTAGCTCTCACAGAGATAAGTTTTGGGATTTGCTGTAACAGTTACCAATTGGTATAAAAATATGTATGTTCATGCCTGACTCTATTGTCCTGGGGCGAGGACTCAGGATTATGGGTTTGCTTAATTAGTACTTTCCTTCCGTTTCAAAACTTGAGGGCATAGAAATGTTTAAAATGCCTTTGTAGAAAATACCCTTTCTCAGACTGAGAATTTGGTTTATATACAGGTGTACTTCTGTGACCACTCTCAGAGGATTTACATGGTTTCCAGAAATCAGTGTCGCTCAATTAAATGTGCAGAGGAAAATGATTCACTGCAGCAATGTAAAATCAAAGCAGCAGGTTTTTTAGTTTTTACTGCAGGTGAACGTTCAGTTTCCTTTTGTTCTGGTTTTAATAGTATTGATTTTTTAAAAATGTACAAAAGTAAAGTAAGTCCTCAGAGTATGTGCTGGGGAGTAAGTATAAAGTCAGAGATCTAATTGCATTTTATTCTTCAAGGACAAAAGTTTTTTGATTCTGCTGTATTTGCCATTTGAAAAAAAATTACACTATTTTACTAAGATCACAGAGTAAATAACAGAAAATCAGAAAACCAAATCAGCTGCTGAAGTGCAATACAAGACATCAGCTCAGCACACTGCATAGCAAAACAGTCAATCACAATGCCATCACTAGCAGCCTGAATGGTAAATTAACATTTCTCTGGAATAGATGAGAGGTGAATAAACAGAGATATATGTAAATACAAACTAAGTAGAAATAGACATGATTATAGATGAGTAAATATGTGGAATCAGCATCAGTTAAGCAAGCAGACTTAATAATTGCTTGCTGTTCATGTCAGGACAATGTGCCAAAGCCTTTAGACAGCAGCCATCATGTCTTAAAAGGCATTTTCTGGGTTTTGAGCACGGTCTTGGGGCTCCCTTCACCAAAGATGGCAAAAACACCTTTATGAGGAATTTGTGTGGTGAGGCCAGGTCTGTGATGCTCCTTCAGAGAAGCTTACTGAGGACAGAGCATGTGTATCCGCTTCTGCGCGGGCAGTGCTGACCTTGGTGGATCCGCCACCCGCCAAGGCCTTTTGGAAATCGGGCTGAGCAAGCAGCAGTGGCAGAGGTCCAGGTCTGCATTGTGGTGTCTCAGCTGTGATCTCCAGATGGGCTTGTGTTGGGACTGGCGTGTCCCCACGTGGGTGCTTGGTGGCTCCCCAGCACAGCCCGTGTTGAGCATCGGATGCAGCAGGTTTTGAAGGGTTCAGCTGTCCTGTTGCCCCTGCAGTGACTGACCTCCAGCCCCCTCTGCTATGTGTGGCTGCAGCTGCTGGGTGCCTCTCCAGGTCTGGGGACCTCTCCAGGTCTGGCCTTGTCCCTCACTCTGAAACCAGCAGGTTGACCTCAGCCAGCTGCCAGGAAATACCTGCTTGGCTGTGGTGTCTCCATGGGCTGCAGGGGAGTACCTGCTCAGGCACCTCGAGCTCTGCACGCCCCTCTGGCTGGGTGCTCACATGGCTGTTTCTCACACTTTTTACCTCACTCCTCTCACCTGCGAGGTGTTTTGCCCTTTTTTAACCTGTTACCACAGAGGCACTGCTGTGACAAGCCTGGCTGTGCCATGCTGTGGGGCCACGGTGGGACTGCTGTGTGCAGCACAGGGCAGCCCTGACCTCTCTTCACAAAGACCATTTTGCAGCACACCCCGACACCCTTCACCCTAGTGGTGCCATGTGAGAGAAGCTAGAAGCATCCTGGGGCTTTGGCAGGCTCCCTGGCTAGGGACACATGCACTGGAGCAAGGCAGAGCCTGGCCTCTGGGCTTTGTCAAAAGCAGGGAGGATTGAAGTCGTTCACTTGGTGGAGTGGCTGTGTGTGTTGTCACACCATGCAACGCTGCCAGGACAGGGCTCAGCAGAAGCAGTTTGTGTGGGCTAAAGCAGAAGGTGGAACTAGGGTTGAGGAGGTGCCACAGTATCAGCCAAGTCTCCAAGGACTGCAGTTTAGGTGTGAAAGTTGCTGAGAGAGAGGTACTTTCTCCTGAGCTCTGCCTCATCCTTCCCTGAGCCACTGCTCTCCACGCCCAGCTTGGAAAATAAGAAAAAAGTATCATTCTGCCAGGTTAGGAGCCCAAATCTGTTCCACAGAGGCTTTGATGGCCCTGGAGCTCCTTGTAGGGGTTTAGGTGCCAGTGTCTGGAGGCGGGGGGGGGTGGTGGGGAGCAGAACACTGCCCCTGCCCTCTGCAGTAGCTGCCACTGCCTGGCTCAGCTGTAACTGCGGCTGCACCCATAGAATTTAAACCTCTCATATGTTAGAAAAACACATTTAAAGGCTGTCCTCTTTTGGGATGGCTGAATTTGTATCCTTCCTAGATCAGGGAAATTCAGCCCTCAGTTTGTCTAGAGTTTAAAGCACCTGGGCTGACAGATGCCTTGCCCTTCCCCTCCCTCAAGGACACATTCAAGGATGTGTCTAGAATGTGAAGGTGTGAAACCACCAGCAGCTCTGCTGGGGTCATTGGTTTGTTATCTTGGGGTTGAACAGGTTTCTTCTTTTACTCAGGCTCCTTTCTATGTGCCAGCAGCTGTCTCTGACGTTTTTATAGGTCAGGTGCATCTCTAAGGTAGCTGATCAGAACTGTATTTGAAACATGGCTGTAGTGTGACCTGTGCATGGAATAGCATCATGGGTGGACTCTGTTAACTCTCCCTGTGAAATTAAATGTTTTAGTGCTTTATAGGAATATGGGATCATCAAATGTTTCTCATGAGGACAAAGCAGTGTTTCAAGATGATCCCCAGATCACATAGTGTGAAATTTTCCTGTACAGCAAGTACGGACGTAAAATACAACCATTCAATCTGGATGCACAGTTTTATCCATCTCAATTTGTTATGTAAATCCTGAAGACACAGCTCTATTTCTATGAGATTTTAATTGATTATTTAAATGTTATATGATACCTTTAGTTTTTTTCATTTTTGCTGAGTCTTTCATGCCTGAATGCCACTTTGGTTTCTTTGCTGACTTTCACTTCTAGTGATTAGTTTCTTAACAAGCATAGACTAGCTTCTGCAAGTTTCCAGATACTTAAACTGTAGGATTTTTATGTCAGTCCACATTTAAAATGAAACTAAAGGTTGTTATTTGTATACTTAAAACTATCTTTTCATTTTTATGGATGTGTTAACAGCTTTCAGTAAAACTAATGTCAAGGTATGGTGCATTTCATAGGTTTGGTGTGTCAGCTGTTCCATAATTTCCAGTGCTATGACCATGGTGTAAATCTCAAAAAATCCATTTATTAAAAATAAACCAGAAAAATTGTTCCAAATTGTCAAATACCTGAATGAATGCCCAGGGGGCAGGGGAGCCTTCTACTGCCCTCATTTATAGGCAAGCCAGATGGACTTCATTCATTTCAGGAGAAAAAGGTACTCAAGCAGAAACTGTCCTTGTGATGTTGCAGTCTGCACTGAATTTGTGTGGCTGAGGCCATTCAACCTGGATTTGCATTAAGAGCACCAGTTATCTTATAATTTAGATTAACGTGACACATTCCATGCTTATGTGTTGTTATGTCCTCATGGAGGTGATCTGGTTATTTTTCCAGGCAAGCCAACGTTTATGAAGGCTCCTGAAGATCAGATTGGGATTTCTGGAGGAGTGGCCTCTTTTGTGTGTCAGGCAACAGGAGAGCCCAAGCCTCGTATCACGTGGATGAAGAAGGGGAAGAAAGTCAGTTCTCAGCGGTTTGAGGTAATTGCCAAAAGAAAAAAAAAACAACCCAAAGCTGAAAATTTGGTAATCAATCTAATCCTCACAGGTCTTAATTGCACAATAATCATCACTGTAACCTGGGTATCTCTACATCACTACAATACAGAGTGTAAAGCTTCAATGTAAAACAAGTTTCCTTCCCTGCAGCAATGCAACCTATAGAGCAGGTGGTGTCCTTTGAGCGTGATGCTGGAAACACACCAACAGGACATCCTCATACAGAGAACTGGATGGCAGATAAGAGTTGGATCTAGCAGTAGTTTTCTGTTTTCATTGTCAGAATTTAGAAGGCACCTCTTTGACCTACAATCCCCAGTGGAATTCAAAGTGAGGTGCCAGAACACCACTGGAAATCTTTCTAAGTGATGGCTACTGCCATCTCTCCCACAAAGATACTTGGAAGGGGAAGAGTGAAGAGTTAATCAATGTCCCTGTGAGCTAAAGTAGGAGAGAAGGGAAGGGAGAAGAGCAGGTGTTAGAAACATCGTTGAAAAAGGGTCCAATTTGGTTTATATTTTACATAGCAAATATAATTTTACTGACTTTCTCCACCTTTTTCTCTGCTTTCCTTTTTTAGTGTCAGGCTCCCTTCTCTAAAACTGCCCTCGCAAATGTGACCCTTCTACAGTTCTGCTGCCTTTCCTCTAATCCCCTGTCTTTGATGTTTTTGCTTTCCTGAATGGAGCAAAGAATGACTTTGCTGCCCAGAATGGATTGATTTAAGTCACCACTTTTAATCATGATATCGTATGTGAGCAGAAAACCTTGATTAAAGTAATCAGTTTTAATCTTGTTTTACATTGTTATTTTTCTCTGGTAAAGGTTTTGTTGTATAGTAATTATTTAAACATTCTAATTTGTAAGTAGATACAAGCTTTATAGTGAATTAGGTGCTTTTGGCTGACTAGAGAGCTATGCCATATTATATGCATTTATGTGAGCAATTTCACACCTTTGTTCACATCAGTTTGGATGCATAGCTTGTGTCAGGAGATAGTGAATAATTTTTTTTCCTAAGTTAACTATTAATTTTACTTCATTACTAGTCTTAGGGAAAATTCGGAAATAAGTTTAAATGAAGAAAAAACCAAATCTGATGTACACATGCTAAGTTGTGACAAGAAGAGGTATCCATCATTAGCAAATTAACATTTTTTTTCTCAGTATCTGTCTGGCCCTTAGTAGTTGTAGCTCTGTTTCTGTTACACAGTGTTTGTTCAAAGGATAGTGAGGGCAGAAGAGCTTTTCTGCTGTTTCATCTCTTTGCTTTTTAATCCTTATCACTGAAGTGAATTAATCTCTGTAGCTGACTTTGTCTTGTTTTAAAATTTAGCAGTAGCTCTATCCTTTGTAAAGATATTTAGTATATTGTCACAGTTTCAAGTTTAATTTAAAAATTAGTATTTTTAAAAAATTTAATTCTTCATAGTGTATTATGGTGATATTTATATTTTTCTTTCTTTACCTGACTGTATTAGGGGTTTCTTCTTGAAACGGAAGGGCTGTTCATTCCAGCATGAGGAATAACAGACTTTTTAGTGATCTTGGTTACCTTTTGATTTCTTCCTATTTCTTCTGTCACTTCAGAGTCTTGCAGTGCATTGTTTTCCTCCTTCCTGTTCTCTCTCTTTTGATCTTTACGCTGTGAGAAGTGCTCCTAAACAGGCCCTTGGAAATAGGGTGAAAGTTTTGCATGGGGGTAGCAGCCCTAAGTTGAATCCATGTCTGGAAGGAAGGATCCCTTAAGTGTCTTCATCTCTCCCTCACTTCCCAAGGGCCAGGAGTGGGTGGCATCTGCCTTCCCCTCATGCTGTCACTGCCTGCAAATCAGGTAGTATTTCTAACTTTTGCTGCACTCTGTGATAGGAGAAAGGGTGAATTTGGCATTAATAGTGGCTCGAGGCTGTGCCATCACAGCCTTGCTGTTATGAAATAGCATATAGTGATCCAGCTACTAACTAATAAATACTTTTTTCTACCATGTATAAGTCAGAGTAATGCATTTTGCAGCTTAGCAGGATGGATGGAAAGGCAGTGATTTATTAAAGACTTAATTTATTATGCTGGGGAAGGAAGTGTAATTACAGCATTGTTGATTATACCAGCGTTGCAAAGTACCCAGTGCTGAGGGACATTAAAACCCCTCACTCTGCTGGAGTTAGCATATGCTGTAGGTGCTGGAGGTTTTATTCAAGTTTTGTTACTGTTTCCCTGGCAATCCCACAAGAGTATATCATTCTCCTCTTCCATCAAGGTGAAAGTTGGCACTAAATTGTTATCAGTGATTAGCAAAATCATTAGTGCAAATATGGCTCAGATGTTTTAAATCATCAGATTCACATCTTAATACCAGGTTGATAATTTGTCAACCTTAATTGATCCATAAAGAACTTCATTGGATCTTCATTTGTTCTGGCCTCCTCAGAGGACAAGTACGTTCTTGACACTGAAATTTTTGTGCTACTGGGTTTGGAACGCTTAACTTACTGCATGGTTTTCTAGAGCTTACAGGGCTTGTTCTGGTTTAGTTTTTGTTCTTCAACCCCTAGATTGTTTTGACTTTCAGTGTTTGTTGCAAAGGCACCAGTAATGAAGTGCTGTCTTTTCATTTTCAAAGGTTATCGAGTTTGATGATGGATCAGGATCAGTTCTGCGGATACAGCCCCTGCGTGTTCATCGAGATGAAGCTATCTATGAGTGCACAGCCACCAACAGTGTGGGGGAGATAAACACCAGTGCCAAGTTAACAGTCTTAGAAGGTAAGGGGGAAGTTTTTGCATGCCTTAAGTGGCAGGAGATGTGGCTTTGGCAGCTACATGTTGATGTGCTGCATTTAAATGGCATGGTGATATGCTAGCTTGATTTGATAAAGCTGTGTTTTTCCTGCAGCAGTTGCTATAATTTCTCCTATAATAGAACATCACATTTTTGAGACAATCACGAAAGGATTGCAGATTCAGGACTGTCTTTAGAGTGTTTTTGTCTCAATCTCACCTGATTGAGAGGTGTCATTTCTGACTTGGAGGGCTATCTACAGAGACAATTGTATACTTTTCTCATCTGTTTGCTTTCATAAAATACCCATCTTCAGGGTATCCAAGTATTGTGTCTGCCAATCAGAAACTTACCCTATGTTGCTGCACCTTCTGGATGAAATCAGCACATAGATTTTCAGGTTACACATCAGGTTTTTACTTGATGTGAAATTTAGTTGTGTTTATTTTTCACTGTACTCACAACTTTTAATTCTGTCTCTCCTGTTAGAGAACATATTTTCCTACTCGTCTGCTATATGAGCAGGTTTTATTTTGCTTGCTATGTTGTTTCTGCTAAATGTTTGTGGAAAAACTGTTTATTAGATATAAACAGGCTGGTAAACACTTGATTTTTTTAATATTAAAATGTCAGAATTGTTTTCTGCTTTTAAGGAAAGATGGGGTTTTCCCAGCACATCAATGTGTTTTACCATTTGCTTATATATAGGATTTTGTAAATGTACTGAGGTGTTAAAAATCTGGGGCATTTGGCTGAATGGATTTTTACCCCTTGCATTTTTACCTCTTACAAGCAGGAAAAGGCTTAGGCAAGTTAGTTATTGTTTATTGATTGATGTAGTAACTTCTAAGTAATGAAAAAACTTGCCTGGAAAGTGTTTATTTTTGTGGGATTTTGAATCAGAGGAGAGTGGTTATCCCAGTGGTGAGTGTGCCAGCCACACATGACAAGTTGCCTATTGTTCCTTGTTCTCCCATCCCCATTTATAGCATACAGGTAATCATATTTTCCTTTCTGCTCTGTGACAAAGAATACATTAAACAACTGTAATGTGCTCAGGCACCGTGGTGATGAGAATCATAGAAATCATTCAATACCTGATGTGATTGTGTATCTTGTTTCTGGAGGTGGGGCATCTTAAAGATCAGCTTGCTCTCCAGTAATAGCATTATTAAGAATAGGATAACAAGTGCTATAGACTTGAAAATTATTGGGGGACAAAAATCACATTCTTTTTGTTACTTCTTGCCTTTGCAGCAGTGTATGCAAGTGCATAAAGCTCAGTGGAGCTCTTTCAGCAGTGTACAGATCTGCACTTAAATGCTTCCTGCAACTGGATTTTTGTGATACTGGATGCCTGAATACTACTCTTCCATGCACATTCCTGTTTCTTTTGGTTGTAGCTGCCTTTATGTATCTTGGATATGTATGCACACGCACACAAACGCTAATAATTTATTTGCTCTGTGTTAAGTGTTCAAAGGCCCACAGAGACATGCCTTGAATCAAGGATCACAACAGTATTTCTTAGCTCCATGGTGCTCCTGCTGATTTCCTGATGAGGTAAAGCTTGCAGACCACCACATAAATAGGGAATGTTAGGAAACACCACAGACAGGAAAAGACATGCAGGCACACAATTTAAGAGTTGCAGAAGCAGAATTCAGTAGCAGTCAAGCACTGAGCCTGCTTTTCTGTTTGGAAAATTCGTTTAATTGGGAGTAATGGTAGTTGAACATGATCCCATAAGGTCAAAAATGATCTGCAGACTGAGGGGGCTGTGTTTCCCACTCAAACTGAAGAGTATCGACCCCTTGCTGGGCACTCTTGTAATGGGAAAAATTAAGAAACATTTGCTGCCTAACAATTGGTATGCGCTCATGCATATAGAGTTGTGAGCCTGACTGCGAGGATGAAGAGCTGTGTGTGCCTTTTATGTTGGCTTAACTGACAAAGAAGATGGATTCTGTTATGATGTATCTATATTTAAGAAAAAACATTTTACATTTCCCTTTGCTGAGACTTTTCCACAGACAGCTCTATAATTTTTCAGTCATGTTATCTTATTTTTCTGCATTGTCTGATAGATATTATTATGTTTCAGCATTTTGTGAATATGATTTTTAAAAAAATTATTATTAATATTCCTTTGTTTGCATTTTGGCAAAGTAGATATTGTCCTGGTTGTGGTTGTTTACTCTCAATGGCTTCCCAAAAATAGTGATAAGTGCCCAAATTCTTTGTTCTGCCATCACTTTTCTAACATTAATTTTGTAGGGGTTTTTGAAAGTGACACATTTTGTGTGGAGCCCTTGGTACTCTCAAGACTGTCAACTAGGATTGGATTCTTCCCTCTGCTTTTGGGGTTAAAATAATTTCTGTAATTGGTCTCAGATGGCAGTTTGAATGATACAGATATTCTGCAATTGCTTTCAAGATTTTGACTAATGCAGTGGTCCCTGGTGCATGACAAAGCTTATCATAGACATCCTCGTGGTAACATGTTGCTAAATACACAGCATGTATTGATTTTTACATTAAGAAGCCTTTATAACAATAAGTTTTAATGCTCCTTCACAATTTGGCTTTAGAACATAGGCCTTAACGTTAAATCCAGAAGTCACAGTTAGGATTTAGCAGGCTGTTATTAGATGTCTTTGTAGCTAACTAAGCCAGAGCTTTATTTTATTTCGATTTCAGTGATGTTTTACAGATCAGGAACTGGTTATCCTTTTTAATTGCCAACTTACTTAATTCTGAATATTAAAAGAGAAGCATGAGTCCAGTCTTACAGGGGAATCGGGAATTCTCACATAAGTGAATCTCTTTTAACAGTCTGGTTCCTTACTGCCCTTTTATTCTCTGCTTCCATGTCTCTCATTTTTCCCTTCTAACTGCAGATCCTGTTGTGACCAAACTACGTATACTTTGTGTAACTGGAAATTATTTCTCCTGTTGATAGTAGACGAAATAGACATGCGTATACCTTCTCTTCTCATTTCTCCTGGGTAGCTGATAAGCTGAATTATGTATGAGTCATATTGAACATTTCTATCTTTTTTCCAATTATGACCTGAAGCAGCACAGAAGTATGTTTCTGCTTGGCAGAGGAGGAAAGCAGAGCAGGGAGGGGGAAGGCTAGAATCAATAAGCTGACACACATTCTCAAGAAAAGCCTCAGGGACAGTTAGTGGCAGTAACAAATTAATAAATATATTATTCAGTGGTAATGTTGAGAATTACAGAACATTTTCAATAGGGAGGTTATATGAAATACAAGTAGGAAAGATGCCAACGTGCAAGAATGAAGCCACAAGCTGATGGCAGGAGTGCAGAGGTCCTTGATGTCCTTCCATGAGACTCCTTGTACGCTCTGCATTGCAGCTGTGTTGGGAAAGGTGATGGTAGCAGTATTTGTCTCTACTTACCTGTTCACCAAAGGATGCCTTCAGTCTGTTTTCCTGCAGTTCCCACCCCATGGGAAGATAAGGAAAAGCAGTGGAAAAAAAGGTCTTCAGGGGGCAGGGAGAAGTATATTGATTCTTTGGTAAAGAAAGGTAGCTCCAAATAAAGTATATTTAAGTATATAAAGTATGTTATCAGTCCCTTCTCCCAGGGCTTTCCAACTGAGACATTCAGTTTTGATTTCCAGAACTGTAAAACCAGTTAATTGCAACTGGTCCTTTAATGCTTTACAAGCAGTCTTTTTTTCACTCCCTTGTAATTCAGAGCATACAGTCATATCCAAGTGACACTAAATATATTCAGTTTCATTTCCCTTTGTTTTTAAGTAGGTTAAATGAAAATACCATCTCCAATTTCCATTCTAGTTGTATGCAAATCCCCTATGCCTCTCTCCCAGACTCCTAATCATGTGGCATGTAGTTATTTGCCTGGAGAGTGCTGCCAGGCTCCACAGGAGAGCAGCTACTGGTAAAGAGGACAGACAGAAGAGCTAAGGAAGAGCTGCTTGCACAGTGGGTTTCAGTTTCAGTGTAACCTGGCAAGTTAAGTTTTGTTGGCTGGCTTTATGCTGACAGAAGTTTAGGAAGTTTAGGAGCATTTCTCTGCAGCCCTTGTGCTGTGTTTTACCATGAACTGAAACATTCTCGTGGTATCAACTTTGTGCTCAGCACAGATCCAAAACACAGCCCAATACAAGCTACTGTGAAGAAAATGAGGTCTATCCCAGCCAAAACTAGCACACCTAGAAAGTTCCTGAGTGCAGCAGTTGTCCTGGGGTGGCAAGCACTTCTGGCATATCATAATTTGCTGTTTACTGAACCATGTCATGAGCTTAATTTCTTTCACCATCTGCCAGCTGCATTCCAGTTCCTGGGGTTACCCTGTTTGAAATGCTGTAAATGGTAAACATTTGACTGTTACAAATGATTTCTGCAGAGAGCTAGATCTCAGAAGGCCTGAACCAATATGCCCTTTTTGTAAACATCCATCTAAAAGTGATTTTTGTCATTGGAATAGTAAACAGAAGTTAGCTATGTTTAATCCTTGTTTATGTTTGGTTTGTTACAAAAGGATCAGTCGGATCACTGTATTTTGGCTTCGTTGCTTTTGCATCTTTTTGCCAGGAAGAATTCCTTGCAATTTGTTGTAAAATTGAAACAATTACAGAATGGAAATTGAATCTATTTGCATGTGCTCATTCTGATTGTGTAAATGAATTAAAGCTCCCTGTGCTCTGCTGCTCCTGGGATTGGTACTAGTAGAGAATAGTTTTCATGTCTCTGGTCAAGAGAGGACAGATCTTTCTTCTAGATGTTTCATGTTAATTAACTGTTTCAATGTCCTTTGGTGTCTCTCTGGGAAGGACTACTGTGATCCTACTACAGAGGTCCTACTCCTGTCCTTAGCTCTCTACACAGGCAATCCCAATAGCACTTCCTTCCTGTAGAAGATGGGCAGTTCATGGACCTTTGTAACTATTGCTTTCCCAAGAGCTCCAGCAGTGAGACTCCACATGCTC